CTTGTTTTTGATACAATATTAATGAGATCTAACAGACAATAATGCCAAGGAATGTATAGGAGAAGTTATTAGAACCAATGTAATGTAAATAAGAAGAATGAAAAGTGGGTGAAAAATAACTTGTCGTGAGCAGGAATCGAACCTACGACCTTCGAATAACGCGTTCGGGAGCGAGCTTTTGTAATGGCATTGAATATTGGAAGACCCACTGGTTACGGTGTTCATATTGTATGAGGATTGGTTGCTTTTTGGCTGCTCTAAATGTATACAAGTCGTATAAAAATGTAGGTCGTATATTAGCGCGATTCCTTTCTCAACATGCAGCCTGCCTTAGGCAAATTTGCCAACAAGTCCCAAGCACCGGAGTGGCTCAGTGGTGTAATACAGGGCTGGTACGCAGCATACCCAGGTTGCCGCCCCACTATGTCATGTGGTTACGGGCACCGGCGGCGGACAACGACAGCGCCGCGCGTTACCCGATTCCCGATCTCACAACAGCTGTCGCTGTAAAACGCCAAGCCTGCGCTGCACGCGCCGCACAACCACAGCGAAAGAATTAAGAGCGACGTTTCAGAGCGTTTTCAAAACACTCTTTGGGATGCTACGCACACTTTTGGGTACCCACTATGCCATAAATAATATAATTTATGTGTAGTAGGTCAGCATTTACTATGTTTTCTTTCGTCATTTTTTGGATAAACGGGGTATCCAGTACGCATTTGTTAGGAATTTCGTGCAATTTCTCTATGCAGTGACTGACGACGATGAAGAAATATGCCTGAAGTGGGTATACGCCACAGTTATTAGGGCATCGAGAGCAAGTTTAACTAATATGTTCGAGCAATGGACGACCTACTCGTTACGCAATTCGCTCTGCGTGGCACTTAGCTGTTCCTTTGATGTTCTAAAACGCTTCATTACTCACGTTAACGAGCTTTCTTTCCCGATATGAAGTCTGCCTAAGGCCAGTTTAGAAAGGAGTTTCGAACACTGGTGTGGCTGAGTGGTATACAGAATACTGGGCTAGCACGCAGAGAACCCAAGTTGGAATCGCATGGTGTCAATGATGTTTTTTTTTATGTATAAAGCTTTAGTTCGTTCCATACTGGTTACGGACAAGGGTGGTGGTGGCGGTGGTGGCGGCGAACAACTACGGCACCACGCGTGACTTGTGTTTTGATCTCATCACAGCTTTCGCTGTAAAAGAGTGTGCACACGGAGGCAAACGCCTGCTCTCAGACACTCGTACTTTAAGGAGAGAAATGGCTCGTGATACTGCGTTTCTACTTATGCTTGTTGGTACAACAGTGTTGAAGAAAATAGCGTACGGCAAATATACCGCGAGATGAACAGCGACAAGAGAAGAGAATCAACGCCTGCATTGGGTGTCATCGTCTAGTGTCGCTGTTTTGTATGCGCTATTTTCGTCGACCAGATTCGCTAAACACAGCCGCTACTCCTGCAGTGAAGTGACAGATTTCGTTTTCGAGCTTTGTAGCAGTCAAAGAGTTTCAAGACTACTAAATATAAACTAGCAGAGGAACCAATACTGAAAATCTGAGCAGGATAGCGGTTCAGAAAGGGGTTTGCATGAGGTCCGCTTTTACTGTCGCGATCTGGTGTGAAGGCGAAACACAAACGTCCTGCAACTTTTTTCATTTCTCATTTCATTCTCATCTCAAAACTTGAATAAGTATATTTCCTTTACAGGCTTTTAGTTGTAATGTTGTCAGGATTCACCACTGGCTCGATTATCAAAACAAACCGCAAATCGCACCCATTGTAGCGAAATAATGTCAGGGCAGCATTGGACGGTCTTACGTGGAAAATGGACATCTCGTAAGGCAGTTAGAATCCTATTATTCGCGAACAATTATTGTACGGGAAAATGTTCCCAGAATTACACATGAGCGCACTACAGCAGAGAGTATTTTATTTAAAGCACGTAGCTTGGACGTGATGGAAGGCAAGCAGACGATTTGTGATTCAGTAGGCATACAAGCACAAAGAGTGTTAGTGCTGCTGAATGTCCCTGCAAATCAATCAATCAATCAATAATTTCAGTCATTCATGTATGCAATAGATTTAAATAAGTAATCGCTCCAAGAAAAATAATTGCTGCTATAGTGCAGGCTGACTGAGCCCCTGCAACCCCAAATCAGCTATGGTGCAACCACATTTGAAGGGTGGAGCTCCATAGGGTTAAGCCAGTCCCTTGTATATATTACCCTGTCCATTCACGTGACACGATATGATATTCATATCCGTATGAATATCCAAATGGGTGCACATATGACCCATATGAACATCCACACAAATAGGGATATCGACATGGATATTCATATGGACATTCACGTACGTAGATACCCATACACATATGGATATTCATATTACTATATGAGTATTCATATGGATACCCATATAGGAATGGGTCCATATGACTATTTATATGGACCCATTCAACAACACCATATGCCCATTGTGATTAATCAACAATTTTTTATATACTGCACATACTTGTTGTCACGTCTTGGCATGTATGAAGCGGGTAATGTACGGGGGACACAACCTCCCAGAGCTTCACCCACTTGTCATCATTCACTTCATGAATATGCTGCAATTTTTGTCTTTATTTTTTTCGCTAATTTACAGCTTTTAATTTCATTGAGCCATCTCGCAGCACGTATTTGTGATGATGGACGTATTTGTGACGTAGTTTTACTTCTTTAACCATTATTTCACTCCGCAGATGAGCCGATTGTGTTACAAATTTGATACAAGCAAGAAACATAATCTGTCATTGCGATCGAAAATGGCGATATCAGATATCGTCTGGAATTTATGCAGTCCCTATGAATTTCTCGCTGCTCTGTTGCATCAAAGTCTCATTTTAATATATGCGGAAGGTACGGAACGACCTTCTTTTTCATCTCGTACATCTACAAAGCGTCAACTGAATACAAACATCCAGCCCTAAATAATGTTATAGTCAGACGGGAATCAACGAACACTTGCCACTACTACGGGTAGCAGGCTGCATTATCTGCTTTGGCTGATGGTGCCCCTTACATTCCCTGCATCAGTGCATTAACACTTAGAATGAGCTAATTTGAAACGCAGCCCCAGAAATCCATTAGTAAATTATAAGGAAACGGTGTTAATGGCAATTTTATGAAGAAGGAATGGTGACGTCGGAAAGTGGGTCATGGTTCTCATTATATTTACGTCAACACAGCCTCGTCAGAATGCTGGAAAAAGAGGTTATATGCCTATATATATATATATATATATATATATATATATATATATATATATATATATATATATAATATTTATAAAAACTGCAATCCCTGATAGGGATTTTAGCAGGTGGGTTACTGGGCATAAAAATAAAAAGGATACATGGTTATAACAACTGTACAATTCAACACAGATGAAATGGCTCTTCTTCTCGGGTACAAAAAGTTGTTACAAATAATACACAAAAAAACAGAAGATTGGTATACAATGCTAATTAAGGTGGGACTCAAACAAACTTAGAGAAGGCTGTAGAACTTGTGAATTCTGAAGTTTATTCAAATCGGAAATAGTTCTGGGAAAGAACGAATACTTATAACAGTTAGTACGTGTGCGATAGGAGGTGACTGTTAGTTGGTGTCTTTGTCTGGTCGCGCACCCAGTTGAAAATGAAATCACATCTGAAAAATCTATTTTGTAGTGCCCCTTGATTATTTGATAGAAACACTTCATTCGCGATAAAAGATTCCTGTGTGCTAACGACGGTAAGTCGGCTCGTCGTAAAAGTTCGGTAACTGAAGTGCACCGAAAGTTGTTAATTAGTAGCGCGCAGCCTTCTTTTGTACGTTTTCCAGCCTGCTGATGTTTGCCTTTGTGTATGCATCCCAGCTAACGACACAATATTCTAATGCTGGTCGAACTACTGATTTGGACGCAAGTAAACGAACATTAGGAGTAGAAAGTTTCAGTGCTCGTCGAAGAAAGAAAAGCTTTCTATTCGCGGCAGCAATCACAAAATCAATGTGCTTATTCCATTGAGGATTATTAGTTATCCATAACCGAGGTACTATATTAGGAGTTACTTCTCTCAGAGTGATTGCGTTCACAGAGTATTAAAGACAAAAGGATTCTTTTCTGGGTAATTCTCATGGCTACAGTTTTATATCGAAGTTTACAGCTATCTGCCTTGGTCACACCACGTGATAACTGTTTGAAGGGCATCGTTAGAAGAAATTGATCTGACATGCTGCTTACTTCAGAGTAAATTACGCAATCATCTGCAAAAACATTTCATTTTCACAGGAATATATGTCAACTATATCATTATTATAGTTCATATTA